GTACTTTTACGTTATTGTTAGCTTTAGTTTGAGCTTCTGTTCTTTATGACGTTTTATTACATTCAATTATCATACCAATTATTATTATAGCAATTATACCTACTTGAAAATTATAATTCTCATCATCATCCTACGTACGGCTTCTTTCAAGAACCTCATCTAAAAATATCGAATGCCATAATTTGCACGGTCCGTCAAGTTATCGTTACAGACGTGGTTAATCTCGATTTGCCTAACTTGAGCACATCGTTTCCACGTGACTGACTAATACGGTATTAAATTAAGTACAATGTCAATGCCAATTACATTTTATCGTAGACATTGCCTTTCCTAAGCCCGTCCGAGGCCAGGGCTCAGAACGTGTTCACACAATAGGTTGGTAGGTACAGTAGGGTCAATGTCCTATCGCCATTAATTTGTGGAGGCTGTGTGTCCTATGTCAGTTTTGTTTTGTCAGTGTCAAAGATCTGGTGTCAGATTTTACGATAGTCGACACAAGCGCGCTTTGGTTTTAAACCAACCAGTTTTCACGAATTCTCATGGCTATTGAAGATAATAGCCGAGACCGACTGCTGTCGCTTTTTTTCGAAAAGAAGATTTTTTATTATAGCCATTGTAAATGTTAGTCTATTTGTCATAAGCTCAACTAATTTTAAATGGCACAACTTAAAATGGTAAATGGGTGACTAAAACACATCTGTGAAACTGTGAATCATCCATGTCCCGTTTCTGACTGGCTATCTCAACTGAAACAATTTAAAAACGTGTTATGCCTTTCATCGATGTCTATGTATTTGGGTCAAAATCCACTTTACTTTTGTGAGACACTTGGCTTTTATTCTGGCATTTCGACATATTTAAAATTGTTCTTATCGCCCAGCGTACTGTATTTCTCTGCATTGTAGTCAACTTATATACTTGAACGGCAGAAGTAAGGGTTTGACGTAAACAATCCCACAAATGCAACCTAAGGAGCTAAAGTTCAGAAGGCAATTTCCTTTGCACACGGTTAGGTGACCGTTATGCGTCTCGATTTTCGCACGTGTTGATAGTGACACGAGGATGACGTTAACCAGCTGAGAATGCTACAAACAATACTCTACATAGTAACGTGATACGACGAGGTGCTAATCAATGAAGTGGCTAATTGTATTAATATACTTGGTAGCTTGAATGCTACATATTGTTTTATGATTACAAAAATATATTTAAGACAACAGTACAGACAGTAGATTACGGTTCGTGTCGGAGAACATATGGTGCATTATCTGGTGCAGAACTATCCAGACGAATTCTTCAAATAAGAGGCTAATACCCTTTCTGTGATCTGACCTGTGCCCTCTTATTACAAAAAGTTAAACTCTAGTTACATTTAGTATGGAAATGTTATTAATATTAAACCAGTGTTCATGGCGGGTTTATCTTTTTTGCAATAGGACCCTAGTGACTACGATAACTGGCTTATCAAGTACCAACAAAAATACAGGAAAACTATTCACCTTCTTGTCAAAGTTATGGTTCCAAAATAAATAAAAACATATTTGTTTTGTCTATTAATTTATCTGCACACAAAAGTTACGAAGATTGTATTCCCTATCCAAGAAGACTCGAAGAAATATGAGAGAGCACGCACTTGAGTTACTCAACCGAGCGTCCTATTAATGTAATTAGTAGCCTCTGGTGGGGTTACCGTTCAGATAACCGATTTGCTTTATTACGCTAGCCAAGCGTGATTGCGAAACAGTAAATAACTCATTAAACTCACTTAATCGCCTGTTTGACACGATTACGATCTTGTGTGGAAAATGTTGGGTCTTCTTTGTTTTCTGGAGTTACTTCATCATTAGTGATTTGATTTTTGAGATAGTCTGGTGTCTTTGGAATTTGTTCCGATAAGATGGGCAACAAACCATTCGGTTGCCGTCGTACCTGAGTGATTTTGTAATTAATGAGAGTTGTGGAAGACTAGTTTGTCATCTACAATTTAGATTCGGTAATGAAATAAATGTTAATAAAAGTTGGTTATTTTTTCTCTTGAAGGCTGGCTGGGATGGGATGGGATGGAATTTAAATGTTGTAGTTTCATAAATGTTTTTGTGGTCAAAGTGGAAATTCAAATTATGCAATTGACGCAAATTGGCCAATGTCACTCATTCGGGTCAAACATTTGCAGCAACATTCCCATGCGTTACCAGGAGGTGCACAATAGAACAAAGGCTGATGTTTCGCTCGAAACGTAACGTTTCCCTTCTTCGTACCACCATAAATTAAACATCATTGTTTGCTTTCTTTGATTCCGTCAGTGACCTTCCAGACGTCATTCGTATGTTTACTTGATTGAGGATGTGTACATAAACCATAAATCGTTCGTATTCTTTCTTATTCTCATGTTTTTCTGATTTCTTCTTGATTGGTTATAAACTCCTTATGAAATGATTTCATCGTATAAATTACATATTAATTACTACGATTTAAATTAGCATTGCAAATTTCGCTTATACACACATGTAAAGGCGTAAAGTATGGGAGGAGTATGTAGTTATCTCATGCAAATGTTATTTTATTATCCTGTACTCTAAAAGAAGCGTTTACCACCTTCATTGAATACATTTACACCAGAAGCACTATCCTGCCGCACAATTTATAAACGCAGTAAGTACCACTTACTGCATTTATGATTGTTTTGAATATTCTGAATCCTGACATCGCGATCTATAAGAATCAAAGACCCGTTTTTTTCTATCTATCTTAGAACGGAAGATACATATTATCATAAACGCAGTAAAGAGCATATTTTAGGTTTCTTCACATACTATGTTAGCAGTAAGAGCACATAATAACTTAATATTACGTGAATACTCGCGCTTACTTAATTTGCTACACAGTAATAGTGCAGTATGTGCCAATTACATCATTCTTATTATGTTTCTACAATTGTTAAGTTCACCTTGCACATAGTATATGTGCAGTAATTCCACTTAAACACACACTGATATTATGTTTCCATAGGAAAAACAGATGACTTGTACTTAATATTAATGCAGTAATTACAATTATACTGCGTACATACTAAGGATTGTCAGAGTGCTGCCTAGGTGTTAACATGTTATGAACGCAGTGGCTGACTCTTACATTATTGGAAGAAGTTGAAAACCTGTCCAAATGACAAATCTAGCCGAAGACCCAAGAGCTAGATTGACCCGACACTATACCGAAGATATCCCGGACGTGTCTGTACGAGATTAGAATGGCTCTCAAACAGCTGAAAAACAACAAGGCACCGGGCGATGATGGAATCACGGCTGAGCTTCTGAAATCAGGCGGAACGCCGGTACTAAAGGCTCTTTAGAAGCTATTCGATTCCGTCATCCTTGAGGGAAAAACGCCTACGGCATGGCACAGAAGTGTGGTGATACTCTTCTTCAAAAAAGGCAACAAAACCTTGTTGAAGAATTTATTTTATACCCATCTCACTTCTGATTCTGTTTTTGAGAGTCATCATGAATGGTTTCACGCGACATCTAGCCTCCCGAACAAATCGGTTTCCGATAAGGCTTTAGTACGATAGACCACATACTTATCTATGGCAGAAAACTGAGGAGAATAATCAGCAACTTTGTCTGGCATTTGTGGTCTATGAGAAAGACTTCTCTCTTCAAGCTACAGTCTCTCCAACGGTGCCAAATTTACTATAGATATAATCGTTGAAGGGCTTGTACGAATAGGCCACAATGTCAGTCCGTCTCCGGGATCAGGACTTCAGTTGCAGCGAGGGGTCAGACAGGGAGATGTCATATTTCTAAAACTGTTCACTACCACTCTGGAAGATGTTTTCAAGCTTCTGGACTGGAGCGGATTGGGCATAAATATCATCAGCGAGTACATCACCCATCTTTGATTCGCGGACGATATCGTAGTCATGGCTGAGAACGTGGAGGATCTAAGCTCAATCCTCGATTGCCTCAATAGAGCCTCTCAACAAATGGGTCTTTAATGGACAAGACAAAAATCATGTCAAATGCCGTGCTGTACCCACTCCTCTGAAGGTTGGAGACACTATAAGTTGTCTGATGGCCGCTGGGGCAGGAAAGTTCTTGAGTGGCGACCATGAGCTGGAAGACGCAGCTTGGGCAAGCCTCACACTAGGTGGACCGATGATCTGGTGAAGGTCGCGTCAGGTGCCTGTATGCGAGCGGCACAGGACCGGTCTTTGTGGAAATCCTTGGGGGAGGCCGTTGTCCAGCAGTGGACGTCTTTCGGCTGAAACGAACGACCGAGTCTTTATTTTATTAGATTGGTATATTTAAGATCTAAAAGTGGGTGCCATATCTTAATTTTTGATTGAATAACAAGCGATCTCAGCAATTATTTTGTAATACTTGTTTCATTTACCCCTTGATTATTTGGGAAAGTTCAACATGAAAGCGTTATTGGCTTATGATAAGTGCAGTATAATTGTATTATTACTGCGCATTTAAAGTTTTGATAAATTATTTTGATTCACACTCCCACTCATAAATGCAGTAAGTTGTAAAGATACGGCGCATATATTACGTTGTAAGAACTAAAATTTAAATCAATCATTTAACACATGTACCGTAAGTAACGAAAACTACTGATAAACGCAGTAAGGAACAATCATACTGCATTCATGGGTAGTAAGTATCGAACGAAAACTTAGTTAATCCATAACATAAACAGTTTTTTAATAATTTTAAATACAAAATATTAATTAAAATACAAAAACCTCATATCAAAATAAACTTTGAGTTTAGCTCTATAAGCCCATATATTTTTTTTTACAAATATTTGCGTAACTAATTGTAGACACCCCAAAATAAAATTTCAACTTTGATCGCGTTTTTTTCGAAACTGTTCACGTGTTACTTACTGCGTTTATAAATTGTGCGGCAGTATCATAGAAGACTATCCAAGCTAGATTAGACCTCATGTAAGTGTTGTAGACGAATGTACTAAAAATAATTTTCTCTCTTTTCCAGTTCGACTTTTCGCCACGCCGGTTTTACCACTGCCAACTATTCCGCCCTTCAACGTGCTTAATGTCGCAATGCTAGACAACTATTTTGATAAGAAAAACGCTCAAGCCTATAGAAAATTAGAGAGGTGTTGGCGCACGTGACGTCACCGCCGAAAGGAGGGCGACATGAGCCAGTCGCAGGATGAGGCCCGGGCGGCCCGGATACAGAAGTATAAAGAAGAAAGAAGAAAACAGTTAACAGCTAGGACAGCAACGCTGTTTTCTTCGAACGTCACTGAAAGGTGTGTAGAGAGAGAGACTTAATCACGTTTAAATATTTATCCAAATATGTAATCATCGTAACTTCAACTAACTACCATATTCGTTATAAGTTATTCACGATCCACCACTAATTACCTTCTTTTATAATTTCAGACGTCCGAAGAAAGCCGCCGGCCGGTCGCAATCCGATGACGCTGCGGAACACCTCAAGTCTTCTTCGGAGCTGAACCTCAACACAGCTTCCACTTCAGTACCCATCAGAACCACCCGCACTTCACGCCTGAGAGCTGCCGCCGCCACCCACTCCGATTCCTCGCCGTCTCCTAGAAAATCCAACAGAAGCTCTTCAGTCCAATCCCTGTTAGAAGACGCCAAGAAAACACCCAAGAGTTCCAAAGTCATAGACAGAGACAAACAAAGACAAGCCACCAACAGAAGGCAAAGCAACGAAAAGGAAAACGTGAAAAGCCCGCCTGCGGCTCATTCTGATAAAGATATTGGTGCTATTAAAACGAAATCGAAACATTCCAGTCGTAAAAATATTTTAGAAAAAGACAAAAGTAACTTTTTATTGAATAGTCCTAAAGAAAATGTTGACGATAAATACGGTACGAAGTTAGATGAGAAACGAAAGAGGAATTCCGTGACGGATAATAAGTTAGATAGTCAGAAGATTGAGGATAAAATCGAGAAGTCAGTTTATGTTAAAGATGAAGAGATTTTTAATGATATCTTAGGAGATAAGGTGTTGTCTGACAGCCTGGATAAACAGAACATCGAGGATCTGTTCAATGACCTTGTGGTTAGTAACACAGTCGTCCACAATGACATCGAAGTTGATTTGAGCGATGCGGATGAAACTACGAGGCTGACAGATGGTCACAAAGCTAACATTCCTGCGGAAGAAGCGAAAGGAGCCAGCAAAGTTGTTAATGTAGTGAAATTAGAAGATAGTGGTGTGCCAAAAGTTGTAAAGGAAGATGTGGGAGGATTGTTAGGGGCCGTGTGTGTTCGTAAAGTAGAAAGATTTAGTGAATTGCTCAGTAATTTATGTTCGCCGTGTGAGGCCGATATCTTATTCGAGGACATTTTGGTTGAGAATGGGATCGATGGAGATGGCAACTTGGTGAGTACTTAATTATAAATTTTAACTACTTAAAAAAATAAGGATGTCATGTACAGTTCGCTCCAATATAAAATATCGTTTTTGCAAAAATCGCTGACCTACATTGATAGTTGACACCAAACTGTCCCCTATTGCTCTGATGATATGCTCAATACTGTCACAAAATTATATTGGTTCGGACTATACCTACTATTTTAGTGATGTCTAAAACTTTTGTTCTTGCAAATAAATGTAATGCACTCTAACTTTTTAAATCAAATTATAACAAAGCGGCAGTTCAATGTCAACAACGATAGTGGTTAACAACACACGACTCTATGTATGACCTCATAGTGGTAATAATAAGTTTGCATAACTTCTTTGTTGAAGTAAATGCTATAATGACATTACGCATAGAGGTTTAATATACGTCCTTGTTATTAGATATCGCTAATAACGTTTGTTCGAATAATCGTATAGAACCGTATAAGGTAGTGGAACTGTAGTTATTTATTACTAGCTTTCCGCCCGCGGCTTCGCCCGCGTGGAATTTTGTCTGTCACAGAAAAACTTTATCGCGCTCGTCCCTGTTTCAAAACCCGGGATAAAAACTATCCTATGTTCTTTCCCGGGACTCAAACTATCTCTATGCCAAATTTCATCAAAATCGGTTGCGAGGTTTAAGCGGGAAAGCGTAACAGACAGACAGACAGACAGACAGACAGACAGACAGACAGACAGACAGACAGACAGAGTTACTTTCGCATTTATAATATTAGTTGGGATTCAATGTCAGCAGTTCAAAGTCAAAGCCTTAGTTTATTTTTAACTAGCTTTTGCTAATCCGTTCAGCAGTTTTTGCGTGAAAGAGTAACAAACATCCAGACATCCACACAAACTTTTATAATATTAGTAGGATGCGCTTTTTATCATTAATTTCAATAGATATAGTTGCATTTCTTGGAACAACATAAAAATGAGACAGATAATACTTAGTTTAAGTGCTTATATCTGTTATCTAGTAGCTGAAGCACAATATCTGCATAGGTATACCTACTTTAGGCTAAGTAGTTCACGTGATTGTAATTATTTGGGTTACATTTCATTATTGAAATCTCTGAGAATTTTTTTCACGAAACTGTTTCCATTTCTTGTTCCTATCGCTGCTATTCCTGTGTAGCCAGGAAAATCCAACCAGTGTAGGTCGAGTGTTCCGGGGGACAGATACATTGTCATTGGACCCGCAACGAAATTAATCGGAAGAACATAGAAGGAGTTCCTAGTTAGGTTCGGTGAGAACTGTGGGCACGGAAGCTCTAGCATTAAGGGAAAATATAACTTCCAATTTCTTAAATAGCCGCGATCGTTTTAAATCACTTGTTTGTCAAACTTTTTCGTCCAACTGTACCTATTGCCCAAAGAGTCTTAAATGTCAACTCGATAACACTATGCTAATCCTCCGTCGCCGCAATCTCGTGGCCAACTCCACCTTTCGCCAATTAATAAATAAGCCCCCGATTCGGGTCAGATGGACCGTTATGTTAAGATGATCCGTGCAGGATCATCTTAACAGGTTTCTACTGGATTGGGATTATCTGTAAGACACGGCAAGTGCATTAATATCGTACTTGAATTGGATTAACATTTTGTAAGGCTTCGGATAACGTCTTGGTTGGCCACTTTACATGTTAAAGTTTGAACAGGGTCAAGTCCTCATTTGAATAAATCTGTTCTACTTTTTCATTATATTCGCTATAATGTTCGCCCTATTTAGTGATTCTAGTTCCTGCTTTGCCCCACATGTCTCACATCTCAACTCCGGTAATCAGAGCCATATTCTGTCACCAACTTTTTCGTTGTAAGTTTGAGGATCTTGTGGCTTGAACGGTTTTCTTGATCCTGGAGTGAATGGATACTTCATCCCAATTTCTTGCTTCAAGCAGTCACTGTGCAGTTATGCATTCTATGACTGGGTTACATCCTATACATTTAATTTTATCATACAGAATTGCCATTATTCTTGCACGAAGAATGCTTACGATGTTCGTTTCAGCCAAATGACGTCCACTCCTGGACATGGCCTCCCCAAGGATTTCCACGACAGGTTTTGCGCTGCCCTCATTATCCGTGACCTTCACCAGATCGTCGTTCCACTTTTTGCGAAGCTTACGATATTATTGGAATTATAATGACGACACTCGTAACAAAATATCCTAGAGATAAGTTTATTTGTAATGCAAAATAAGCATTTGTTTTTGAGGGCTTGTGACATTTATCCCAGAAATAGTAGAGATCCTCATAGACTGGTTCTGCAAGATACTCCAAAAACCATGCAATACAGCAAAAGCTGTTTGACTATGTGCGTAAAGGTTTTTAACAATATACCCAAAGAATTTAAAGAATTAAATATTTATCAATTTAAGGCGCATCTTTATAATTGGCTTGTCTCACAGAACTTCTATGACATTAAAGAATTATTAACTGTAAGGCCCGGCTAAACTTTGAGCATTGTTTTGAGTTTTCTTTACTATAATTTGCATGCTTAATAAAAAAAAAAAAAGTCCTTTTTTACGAGGAAAAATGCGTTGAATCGCATACCTACCCTGCGGGGACAAGGTAGGTTATATGGGGCTCACCTAGTCAGAAGGACGAGGCATACCCACTAAAAAGACCCCAGTGCTCCGTCACTCGCCGTGATTGGGAGGAAACTGTGGGTTTCCGGATAAAGCCTTCTCTACCACAGCCCCTCTCGGCGATTGCCCTCCTACACGGCCCTACAAGCCGCCCAGGACAGGGGGGGACAGGAGCAGCTGGGAGCACACAGCTGTTCCCGTCCGACGGTGGTGGTGACTTGTGCAATGCAGGCGGCGGCGCCTCCACGCCTCCGGCCCGCATATTGTCGCCTCCTCTGACCCCTCCGCCGTTGCTGGAGCGAGGGCGCGTTTAGATCATATTCACGCTCTCGCTCCGCGGCCTCCTTCTGACCTTCTGAGACATCACGTCTTCACAGAAGGAGGCCATTGCCACCCAGGTCGTTACAAAAGTCCTACATCAACCCTTGCCTCTACATAAGTTAATTCAGTTCCGATTCTCTCATATGATCCAGCGATGTAGCTTATAGCATGTATGATCTTAATAAACCGACCAGAGAAGAGGTGATTGCCTTAAAGCCTGATCCTGCCAAATATTCAAAATTTTTCCATCACCCAAACAGGAACATTTCATTATGACACCGGTGAATTTTTAAAAGGGCAATTAAAATAGATGATCATTTGCCCACTTCCAGTGCGTTAATAAAACGCGTTAGTTCAACTGCGGCAATTGCCACATGCTGAATCCAAATTAATTGTCTGTTCATCACATAATGTAAATAAAAGTAGCAGATCCCTTTAGTAGATGAAAAAACATCCTTGTTTATATCCTACTAATGCGTTATCGCTACAACTATGTTCATCCATTATAGTCAGTTTTAAAACAAGTTCAAGTGATACTTAATGTAATGAAATTAATTACAAATAGAATAAAGGACATGAAATCCAACTGGACAGGTGCCTAGTTGCCATAAATTCTAGCTTTGTTCATTCCTAAGAAGATAATCCCCAACCCGTCTACCCAAGGCCAAATCCCCTACAGCCTCTGGTAAAGTTGGTCCTGTAGTAGAGACTAAATTACCTGATAATTATAATACAGAATTCCTTACCTACTGCCGACTTCGAAAAATTACTAATGCCCGCCACGTTCTAGAAAACGGTGGACGATCTGGTCCTATTAACAATTCATAATTAACTAGCTACCCCGGCTAACTTCAAACTGCCTGCCTATGTTCATCAGAAATAATATAGGTTCTAATGGGTAAAGAATTTTTCAAATCGGTCCAGTAGTTTCGGCGCCTATTCAATACAAACAAAGAATCAAATCTTTCCTCTTTATACTATTTGTGTAGTGAAGTGAGTGAGTGAGACAAGTGACCCATCTCTCCCTTCCTATTGTGCGTTTATGGTGTCACTAATTGGGCCACACTAACTGCCAAATTAACGGTGATGGTTGCCCAATTTGTTCGATGGACGTGCCATTGTTATTGTCACTAATTTAATTAATTAGTTTTATTGGTTTGAGTTAAGGAAACAGTAGTTATTTAATTCGCCGTTAATTGGAGGTTAAGATGTCGTTAGTTGATGTTGTTTTGGTTTCTGATTGTAAATAAATATTACTGCTTCTTAGTGAAGGATACTTTTTGATAGGAGATAAGACCGATCACTGTGTCATCTTATCCATCCACTAGTAAATTAGAGTGATTTTAGAACAAAGATGTAGTCTAGGAGCACAATACAAAAAATTACTCGGTTCATTATTACAACTGAAATTTATTTCCTTTTTCTGTATGCTGATAAATTTGAGAGATCTTACATTATTTAATGCTAACTTTTTTGACTGTCAGAGCCGTGAAGAAGTACAACAATTCATGTTATTTATAGTTTTCACGTCTTCTTTTTATTGTCATTCGTACATGTAATAAAAGTTGTTTTTCGATGTACAATTGATTGAGAGCGGAAAGGCATCACATAGATCGTCATTACAACAATTTCGTGTTGTTCCAAATTAATACAACCTATGTACATATTCCAGCTTATCTGACTACTTTTGTTGTTGCAAAAATATACTTATTACAACTGCTCAAGATGCCAAAGTTGAAAGCTTGATGTGCCATCAGTACTTGAAATGTTTATCGCGCATGTCAATTGCAATGGCCAGACCAATAATATTCGTTTACCAGTCGAACTTGACCCGTTACAGAACCACGTACGGCATGAATCTGCTCAACCTTCACCTTTAAGTTGAGATAATCTTCGTGATAACACAAGGCTGTTAATTCAGTAGGTTCAGGTTTTGGCAGTCCGGAATGTTCTTTTTATTTTGTTTATGGCCAGGTCTGGGATTTTTAAGTAATATTGCGGACATTGTTGTTAGTCATACAATAGTTCAGATAGATAAGTATGATTTTAGACTAAGACCCATTGTAA